CGTCGTCCAGGATGTCGAACAAGGTCCTCAGGCTCTGCAGGAAGGCTCTGGGCAGCCCGTCCGTGGAGAAGCCGGGCTCTGCGGGCTGCATGGCGAGGCTGCCCGGTCCGCCGGCGCCGCCGAGCCGAGAGCACGCCGCCACCGGGCCCGTCAGCTTGCAGGTGCTGTCGGCTGCGGTCAGCGCCATGAAGCAGCCCGGCGCGTCGGGGATGGTCCGGTCCGGTCCAGTCCGGTCCCGTACCGAGGAAGCCGAGGAGATTATCAATGCCTCTTCACGGCAGCTTTCTAAAACTACACGCAATCCTAACTCGGGCACACGGAGTTGGAAGAAACCCCTACCCACCTTTTATTTTCAGTTGCAAAGTTCCGGATCCTATTTCTTTCTCGGTAGCCAGGAAGACAGACCCGCCTCTGCAAACCCCCCTAGCTCTCTCTCCGGCTGCAGGGACGAACCCGGACTCTTTTTTTGAAGCAGGACCGCCCTGATGACGTCGCCGCTGCCGTCACGCGCCCGGCCCCGGATTGGTCGCCGGCGGAGAGCGGCGCACGCGGATTGGCGGGAGCGGAAAGTAAACAGCGGTTTGATTTTTGGGGGGTTCGCTCTTCCCCCCCGGGTTTGAAAGCGGCTCCCCTTCTCCACAAGCAGAGCAGTTTGTGCAGGAGGCAGGAGAGGGGGGGCCGGGGTCGCGGGTTCGGCCCAGGGGGCAGTTCGGCTGCAGTGCAGCTCCCTAATAGATCCACTTTCCCGGGTGGGTCTGCCGTGTCTTAGTCTTCAGTAAATTTGGACCCCGAGATGTGTGATTAATCCCCGCCAGCACTTCAAATTCTGGTGCCCGGTACTGCACGACACACACTGGGGCAGGACAGTCCGAAAACAGGGACCAGCATCGCAGAGGAGCAAGAGTCAGTCAGACTCGCGTTTTTTTTTTATCCGTGGGTGTTTTATTTTTGTGCATTTAAATTACCCGTAATTCTGGATATATCTGGATTGCATTTTAAAGAAAAGGACTGGTACTGGGGGCTCTTACATATTGAAGAATCTATTATCAATTAAACGAAGAACACAAGGTTTTAGGCTGTTACTTACCCATTGCTTTTAATTAATAATAATAATAATAATAATAATAATAATTGCTTACACTTACATATCACTTTCCTGGACACTGCACTCAAAGCACTTAACAGGTCATGGGGATCCCCTCCACCCCACCAGCTGGATGAGGCGCCAGTCCGCTCCCCCCACACCAGCTCTCAGTGGGGAGGAGGGCAGAGCTGCAGGTGGAGGGCCTGCTGTCTGATCCCCACCGGCAGGGTCAGGGCTCACAGTGCTCCCCCACAGGAGACAGCCCTGCACTCGGGGACACATTTACAGATTGTTTCTCTCTAATCTGCTCTAATGCAAACCTTTCTGGTGGCTTTCATCTCTCTCCCTCCCACGCGCTCCCTCCCTCCAATTGTATTCCCCTTCTCCCATCTTCCTGCCAGGCACCCGGGGTCTGTATCTCCTCCCGAGTGACAGGAGTCATCTGTCGGTCTCTCCTGAGCGACAGAAGCGATCTGTCGTTCTCTCCTCCTGAGCAGAGAAGTGATCTGTCGTTCTCTCCCGAGTGACAGGAGTGATCTGTCAGTCTCTCCTGAGCGGAGAAGTGATCTGTC